GTGTTGAGGATTAAACCCAGGGTCTCACACATGCTAAGCATGTGCTCTACCACTCAGCTACACCCTCAGCCCCCAGAATCTATTTTTAAAATTTTGTTAATGTTGCAGAAGACAGCCTACTAACTAGCTCGTCTTAGAAATAAGAAACAATTTTAATTGTGTTTTTCTAGAAGACACTGCTGCAGTGTTTTACATTATTTTCTTTTATATATATTCTTAGCATTACAAGAGCCAAACATTTAAAAAACAAATGTTGGGGAAATAGACAAATTTAATACATTGAAAATTAAAATTTTTTCAAACAATGTATGTAATAAATAAATATATGTATGTAATATTTAACTTTATGGAAATCAGGGAGCCATGTTTCTTTTTAGAAAAGAGAATCAGTTTGTGGCAAAATGTAACATTTGTGTAACTATTACTCATGCATCCTCCCAATGTGCCCAAGTTTTTGAAGTTCCTCAGATTCCCTGATACATTGTTACCACAATTTGACTTGCATTTTCCTGGGCAATTGGTATTCATGTTTCAGATATGCTAACTGCCTCCACTGTTCCCTACCAAACTTACATGAACATTCCCATGAAAAGTACTTTCTTGTTAATGCATTCTCTCATATATATATATATAGGAGAAGAAGCTTTTTGGGGGCTGGGGTTGTAGCTCAGTGCTAGAGCACCTGCCTAGCACATGTGAGGCTCTGGGTTCAACTCTCAGCATTGCATGTGAACAAATAAATAAAAATAAAAATCCATTGACAACTAAAAAACATGTATTTTTTTTTTTAAAGCTTTTGGTCTTGGGTTGTGGCTCAGTGGCAGAGTGCTTGCCTTGCACATGTGAGGCACTAGGTTCAATCCTCAGCACAACATAAAAATGAATAAAAAAAGATGTTGTGTCCATGTATCATTAAAAAACATTTTTTTTAAAAAAAAAGAGGCTTTTCTCAATATGCTAACTACCTTTAGTTCTGACTTCTGTGATACCCAAGCCAACAGACTTTCTAATCAACAGTTGTTATTCATAAGATCCCTCCCTCAACGTACACCTTTCCCTCAGCAGTCTACATTTCCCCTTCCACTAGCCAGAGCAGCATATGCACATTTGAGATACCCAGAGAACTGCAAGCCACTCGCGCATGTGGATGTGAATACACACATAAGAGCAGGGCCACTAGAATTATTTTTGTTGCTGAATATAAAGCTGACACCACACAGGGAGTTTAAAAGAAAGGTGGAGAGGTGGAGGCCGGAAGCATCTCACCTGCTTTCCATCCAAGGTGCAGAGCCTCTTGACCACTCCCGAGTCTAGCTTAATGGCTTCGGTGATATCAGTCAAGACCTGTTCAAAGGAATGAGCAGTCTTTTTATTCAGAAGGATCCGCACGGCTTTTCTAGGCTTCACTCCGCTTCGAATCACAGTCACTAACTTGGGTTTGATGAAATCTTTACTTTCTTTGACTTCACTCTTCACAGAGGTGGTGGCGGCCAAGGTTCGGGGCATCCCACCCTTGATGTTCACAGACCAGTTCGGATTAATATTTTTGGTGTAATCGACTTTACGGAACGGTTCGTTGGATGCACACACGTAGCTCTCACCTAAAAAA